CCATTACGAATGAATTCGATCTTTAATTCTTTATTGCCGCTTTGCTTTGTACCCGAGCTGGCTGAGAAGCCGGGCTTTCCATCGCATTGTGAGTGCATCTTTTTAGAAGAAGAAAACAAATAGGCATGATAAGATTAATATATATTGTAATTACACAGGTGCCAAAAGAATGAATTTGGCTGAATTTCCAGTCGAGATAATTGCATTCATTTTCGAACAAGTACAGTTGGGAAAGGCATGAATCTATCTCTTCTTCTTACAGCTATTGATTAAATAGCAGGGTACACTGGACTTTCTAGCCATGGTTGGCAGCCAGTATAGGGGAAACACAACTCTATCCACCAGGATATGGCTTGGAAGTTAAAATGGATTTATGTCACTAGTCTTTTATTTGTTGTGGATGAAGTCTTTCTCGATCAGTGCATGTAATGGCCTGTGATTTTTATGAGAAAGCTTGTGTATTGTGTTTGTAGTGTGTCTGAGGATAAACGACAAAATAGGTTCGTCGTTATCGGAGTCTGTGCAGGTAGTTAAGTTGATTTCAGCGTCAGTCGATGATGGAGATATCTTTGGAGATACAGATATCCTTGAAGATGGAGATGTCCTTGGAGATGGAAGTATCCTAGATGATGGCTGTATCACCAACATGAAATTTGTATGCCTTATTGTTAGCGGAACGTTTCTTTCATCCAAAGGGGACTGAAGAAGAGGAATACTAATTGTGGAATGGGGAGTGTTGTTTTATAATTGAGGAGCGACTTGGATTCATTTTTCACATGTAGCATGGTGTCACAGGGATGCGATATTTCTGTGTTTTATAAACAGTATCTGAAGAATATCAGTTGAACCAATGGCTTTTCAATGGGAAACTCTTGTCACTCTAGTGGTGTCGCGGATGTCAAATTTAGCAAATATCTTATCCACTGATATTCACATAGGGGGGTTTATTTTATTTTATTTTTGTAGCCTAAAACTCAGGCTGTTATAGCAAAAATAGGTTCAAAGAATTTTGCTGCCCTTGCAAGAACCTCGAAGCTCAAATGACAGAGCGTGAATAGGGCCGATTTCTTGCAAATGATCCATGCAATAAGCCTCTCTCTCTCCCAACATAACCGTAACAACGGTTATGTTGGGAGTAACGTCGGCATCAGTAACGTCGTTCTCCGACAGATCACCACATTTTTTAATTAACTAATACATCTCAGATTTTGATTAACATTACTATATTGGGTTAACTTAAAATCAATGGTGAATAAACTTTCCTAGGCTGTGCCCTAGTTTACGATTTATGAGGGATGAAAATTAGGTTAACGTCATATTCTTTAATGGATTTGTTTTGTTTTTTTTATATTCGGCATTATTTCTTGTTACTATAAACGTTGTTCTTAGTGAGTACACGTGTTTAAGTTGCCATAAAGTGGCCAAATTGTTAAAAGCACATTTTGGCTATAGAAAGGATTTCCTTGATGATAAGTAACACGTGAGGCATCTCGATTCCTGTCGGAGGCAAAAATCTTTCTTTAGTATGGCTTCACAGGCCGCTGTTAGTAATTTCACTGGGATTCAAGTGATCGTCTTTCTATTGGTTTAAAAAAAAACTTTCAATACCCCATTACCCTTGCTGAATAAGTGAGGGTGATAGTAGGAGCGAGATGTTTTATATACAAAGTCCCTCTCACAGCGAGATGGCTCCAGTAATTTGATTTATATAAATTTTTGTGTTTTCGACCAGAATTCTCCTTGAGTTGATCTGGTAAATCGTGGGTGGCTAGATTTATTTTTTATAACGCTTTGATCTGATAAGTCACACGTGAGGCGTCTACTCAATGAGCTGGTAGTATGCTCGATATATATATATATATATATATATATATGGTTTTAAAGTATGTCATATTTATGGATAAAATGCTCAATATCAGAGATAGAGCGTATGTAAATATAAAGTGGACACTGAACTCAACACCAAGCGTCGACAGTCTGTTTCATGGTTGAACACAATCTTCAGGCCATGCTGAAGGTTGTGTTCAAGCAGGAAATAAATTGTCAATGTTTGGTGTTGACCTCAGTGTCCATTTATTGAACAGATATTCTATACAAACAGCACGATTTAAAAATGCTGCAACCCATTCACATTTTGCAAAATGAATATTGAATGGAGAAACTGTAGAAGCGAAGCTATTTATCTAAAACAATATGTAAATGATACTAGGGAAGGCCGAAGACGCCATGAAGAAGAATAACTCTGGTAAACCGTTATTTGATATGATTACGTCAATACTTATGTTGATGTGTATACAAAAAATTACCATCAGAAATGAGAAATAGGCTAAAAAGAATCAAACGAATAAACAAAATTTTAAAATATCATACTGAAAAACAGAAATATCTCTTATGGAAAAGACAAAAAACATTTGCTTTCCCCGTTGATGTATTCGATCGATATTGCGTGATTCTGCCGACCATGGTATACTAACCAGAAATATTTCAGTAAATATAAAGTTGAAGCACTACTTACCTGCTAACGAAATCAAGAGGAAATATACACGTAAAAATATGATCCGTCCTATGAACGAAGCTTATATGCATATATTCACCTATACATCTTTAACACTAAATACTAAGAAAGATATAATGCAAAAGTTACCAAAAATGAATAGGAACGAAGAAAAAGAAAACTCAGAGGAACGAAAATGTCATCAATGTGCGGGAAAAATCATTAGCATAAAGTAGTGATTTTTAGTGTTTAAATGCCCATGCGAGTGCAGACTGAATGGAGAATTTCAATGTTATTGTTTTTTTTATGGTTTTCATTGGTCCTAGCCATGCACCAACGAAGTATTCGGGGATCCAATTTAACAAAATGTAGTCTATGAACAGGTTCTTGCGAGCTTTGAGTTTCCTTACATATGGAAATTGGGTACTCTAATCAGTTGTAAATATTTTTTTAAATTTAACCATTTTAACATTTTAAGTTATTATGAATACTAGAGCATATTCTCAGATCAATATTAAGTACCTAAATCCACTGGCTTTTATTTCTATCACTTAAATAGCCTTACAATAAAATACTCCAGTTCAAGATCTTTCCAGGATTAGAGGCACTGAATTAGTTTCAAAGTGGATCCGCCATTGCTTGTCCGGCCGATTCTCATTGAAATCGAGGCAAAAATGTCCGCAATCACATGACGAGAGTACTCGTCTGTAAAAACAAGGGTTTTTTTTTTTTCATTTAGAATGTGCAGAAAATTAGCACTGATCTGCCCATAGAACTAAATGAAGAAGGAACATTCTGAGGGATTATCTCGAAGGAGTGGGCATGAGGATTTGCTGGGTATGGCAATTCTTAAGAATGCCATATACGAAGAACTACATAACTCCGAACCAGAAATCTTCTCTCGAAGAGCTGTTGTTTTCACAATACCCTACTCTACTCTATGTGTGATTTTAATGGCCTGGAGCATCTCCGGAAGAACTGTCTGGTGTTCTTTCAGGATAATGCTTCCATTATATGCCAGTAACAGTTCAAATATACGCTGGAAGAGAGCGTGGAATATTGATCTGTAAATATCATCACTATTAGCACGCCATTTATTAATAATGATCGTTTTTATTATAGTGGTGAATGCTGGATCCATCCCACTTTTTACAATGACCTTATCAGCTGTCATCGTATCAGCTGACATCGCTTTGGATGTGGATGTGGATATGATGTAGTTTAGGTAATTTTCCGCTACATTTAGTTCTCTGCTACTTGGTAATAAATTAAGTGAATGGCGACTAAGGTAGACAGCAGGGTTGTTGTGACCTAGGAAGTAGTGAACAGTGATTTCGTACTGCTGCGTTTTCAGCACTCAGTGTTCGATGCGCGCTAAAATAGTTGATTCCTGTTGGTGTTAAAGATTTTAATCAGTGGTTTCATATTGGTGTAAGCGGTGAATAGATCATCGAAAATGTAGATGTGAAAGTATTCATATGTCTATGTGATTGCGAGTGTTTCATGCCTTGACTATGTTCTATCTTTGCTCCACTGGCGTGAGAGCTCAACTTACAAATTGAATGACACTTGATTTTAGTAATACTGTCGTCTAGTTGGTTTCGATTCTTTATTAATTTTCCAACCACTTTCTGTTCCAATCACTCAAACAATAATGGGCAAAACTTTATATTCCCCCCTTTTTTGACTTTACTAGGAAGGTCAACATATTTTTTCAACTTTTCACTTTCTTTCTGTTTTATTCTGAGGCTTACTCGAACAAAGGTTGATAAACCGTAAAAAATATATCAAAACCTACTAGAATAATGAAATCCACGATCTGACAAGTTTTCATTTCTTTGTCTAAGATTTAGTACACTGGCCTGAATTGGTGGACCCGTTTGAATCTTTCGGTTCCATATATTTTTTTAATTCTCTCAGAGAGATTCTGGTTTGTGCATCGACCATTAAATCCCAGACATTTTCACTTCGGCATGTCTATTCTTAAAACTAGTTCTGCATTAATTTGTGACATTTATTTATTGATGCTACCTTCATATTGTCGCCATTTAGTATGACTACAATAAGTAGAAAGCCAAGAGATTAGCGAGTTGAAAATAATCAAATAAAAAGGCAAAATTACACTCTATCTCACTCTTTTTACTTCTTTCTTTCTCTATCTACGTTCATTCTTACACACACATGCCTGTTTCTATATTTGGGGGAAATAAGTATGACAAATTGGAAAAAAAGTTTTCGTATTTTTTTCATCATCTAGTACTTCATCGGACCAATGAAATCCTAAATGAAGTCCTTGTAAAATCTGGAACGTTTCCCTTTTGTATATGTGCACCGACCATTTATTGAAGAAAGCCATTTTTATTCTAATATATTTTACATTTTTATTTTTGCTTTACAGAAAGATTATTCAAATAAATTTGTCTTGTCATGTAATACTTTTTCTCTTTTTTTTTACTTTTATGTGTTCATTTATTTTTAATTAATTAACTAATTTATTTAATTTTAGTTCTGGGAAGTGATTTCCGATGAACATGGTATTGACCCCACTGGTTCTTACCACGGTGACAATGACCTTCAGTTGGAGCGTATCAATGTATACTTCACAGAAGCAACAGGTAAACGTTTTTACTTTACGTTTTAGCAAATCTGACCAGTTGCCTAAAATATTGTTTATAAAGTTCAAAGTAATTTCGACAATACATAAACACAACCACGCAGAGAAAAGTTTGTGTGCATTGACCTGACTTTGGTTCGTGGGAAGTGTAAAGTTTCATCCGGTAAAATCGCGATTCGTGATAAAAGGGAAAAAAGAAAGTACGTGCCGTAGCGCTATGGTAAGCTGTTCTGTTATATAGAGAGTTAGATCTTCAATAAGTGCTACACTACAGTGGATTTGTTCCAGACTAAACTTAGTCAGTTATGATGTGCATTCGGTTTACTTACGTGTTTATCTAACTTTCTTTATAATAAGTATGAATTATCTTTTACTGTGTGCCATGTCTCTTCAGGATGTGAGTGATCATGGCTCTTCATAACTTCATGTCCTTTGTGGCTGTTAATAAGGTTTGTCTTTTTGTTATCTCTCCTAATCTCTGTTCTGTCAACCATTTACACAAGCTTGTTAGGTAGCTTATTCGTTGCATTCCTCTGTCTCTCATGTCTTCGATCTGTACTGTGGCTGTTTAATTCATTTGGAGGAATTGTTTTAGAACCGATAGTAGTTATTTCAAAGCATCTGACAAGATGCTTTGAAATAATTTTTAACAGTTCCTCGACTAAAATGGATTGTTTAATAAGTAATGACAAAGTGAGATAGGTTTTATTATTAACGGCCTGTGTGAAGGCTATTATTATTATTATTGTTGTTGTTGTCGCTGTCGTTAATTAATTACTTATTGAATGTTCACACCAGTAGAAACTAGTGGTTTATACAAAGAATTAAGTCCCAATTAATGAAGCCCCCTCGATATCCCAACACGCTTAGTTTTCGAGATGTTTACAATAACTCTACCATTTGGCTGGTTCCAACTCTTACCTTAAAATCCAGTTTGTTCATCTTCTCTTCTTCCCAGTGCTCCGATAATGATTGTTACGACTGTTACTGTTTTTTAACATGGCGGTGACAGTTCAACGATGAAGATATGACAGATATATTGATGAATCAGCTGGAGAATTTACTAAATTCATAATCAATTTTTTCTTCATTTATGCAGTTTTAAGATTGCTATTTGACAATCAAGTACGACGAAATTTTATCTGAGAAATTGAAGTTTTGATGCGAACAAACTTGCCAGTATGAATAGATTTTAAAGTGAAACTAAACAAAAGTAAACCAAAAAATTGTGTGTTTAAGCGGTAAAAGATATAAAATGTGACACAGACGTTCGAAGGTACATAAACACAGAGAAATGTTACTTGCATTATTTACATTATTCGGACTGTTATCCGCATCTTCATTGCCATATTCACAACGTTTCGGACGGAGCGTAAAACGATCAAAACGTTGTGAATATGGCAATGAAGACGAGGATAACGTAAATAGTGTAAGTAATCATAATACCTCATCTCAGAGATATAGACTGATAGATAAAGATGCCTTTCAGAAACTAAGCAAAGAGGAACTTTTTTTAGAAACAGGGAAAAGTACTGGACTGCTACGTATATTTAATCTATATGTCAGTGAACGTTAGACAATGATTTCACAGATGAGGAAGAGATTTGAAGCGACAGATATGTGGTTCTGACGATGAATGGTGAGAATATCATAGACCGATGATGGGTGTACGAGACACATTTTAAAGTAGAATTGGAATTACAAGGAAACTGCTTCTCTCAATCAGAAAGAAAAAAAAAGACGAATAATGAAGACATAAGGCCTATAGAATATAACACCGACGGGACATACTGAAGGTAAGTGAGACAGAAGAAACAATATAACACCGACGGGACATACTGAAGGTAAGTGAGACAGAAGAAACAATATAACACCGACGGGACATACTGAAGGTAATGAGACAGAAGAAACAATATAACACCGACGGGACATACTGAAGGTAAGTGAGACAGAAGAAACAATATAACACCGACGGGACATACTGAAGGTAAGTGAGACAGAAGAAACAATATAACACCGACGGGACATACTGAAGGTAAGTGAGACAGAAGAAACAATATAACACCGACGGGACATACTGAAGGTAAGTGAGACAGAAGAAACAATATAACACCGGGACATACTGAATAAGAGACAGAAGAAACAATATAACACCGACGGGACATACTGAAGGTAAGTGAGACAGAAGAAACAATATAACACCGACGGGACATACTGAAGGTAAGTGAGACAGAAGAAACAACGAATAACCGATTTAATGAATGTCAGTGAATCGATGGCAAGACAAGGGCAAAGGGGCGGAGGTAAAGGGTCAAAAGTTACTTAGAAAAACAAAAGAGAGGAAAGGAGACTGAAAGGACATAAAAGGAGAAACAATAACTATCTGATGTTTCCAATTATAAATGAAATAATATCAGCGTTGACATTTGTAAATTATATACAGCCGGTCTATTTGATCACGTAATGAAAGTTTTTGTTGATTGTTTTATCTGATTAACCTCACTTCTATAATCATACATTAATTCTTATTGTATTTATGCATGAAAATAAAAAAACTTTCACAGGGGAGATAAATTTGTCCACTTGACAAAAATTCCTATTTGCAATACATATTAAGCAGTTTATATTGTGACACGGCACTATTTTATGGCTATTCGGTGAGGGCCATTACAAGAATAGTTCACTAATATCCACATCAAAATATATATTGAATCTATATTTGTAATTTTCATGCCTAAATCTTTATGATAAACTTTCCTTCAGTCCATCGACACAGCTAAAAGAAAGCTAAAAAACAAAATGATTGTTTGTTTCGCTTAAAGATCATTAAAAAAGCATTTAAGAGTAAAAGACCCAGTCCTAAATGCTCCAACAGATAAATCTCTCATGCTTACCAAAGTCCTTGTCTCTCTCGCAGAAACAATAGCTTTGGTATGCATAAGGCGAAGATTTTAGTCGAAAATGTCGGAAAAGATTTAGTCAAAAAAGCATTTTAACTAATTTGGCTGGATTAATTATGAACATCTGTACTTTGTTGGCTGTTTCGCAAACGGTATTGTTCTTTTTTATTAGTAATACAGTACTTATTATATAAATCCAACTTATTATCAACTCGCTGCAAACAAAAAAACAATTTCTGTCTGACCATTTTTCTAAGCAGCGATACAGCAAATTTTTCATGTAAATTACATGTAAAAGTACAAAACATAAACCATGAATTTTTTTTTCTCATTTTGTCTGATTTGAAATCAGGATTCTCTTATTTTGAAATCGAACTGTTATGTTCAGTATCACGTCTATGATGAAGGTTAAGTTTTTCGCCTTCTACGATAAAAAGACGACGACACGAATTTATGTTTAATTTTGATTTAGTTTTGATTCGCAATCTCAATTTTAAAAGTTTAGTGGTCACAGCATTGTACATCTTGACTAGATTGACATTAGATAAATTTACCTCTGAAATTTCTCCTTTTTTGTTTTCATATATATGAACCATAATTCAAAGTGATATTAATATTTTTATTTCATAAAATATGGCTACGTTCAAGACTTGAACAAATTATTAGAATATAAATTTATGACATTACATAAATCTTTTCCCGAATTTACCTAAAATTGTCAATGATTGTTAACAAATCAATAAGTAAGAATGGCTCTTTGATATACTTATGTTTCACTTCTACGTGATTCATTAACAGAGGAGATTTTGCCGATCAAACGATGAATTTATACAGTAATGCTCATGCAAAATATATCCAAAAGTAATGTCCCGAATTAGATGTTTATTCATCATCCTTATTCAAAATTTTATTCATTGTTTTTAGCCAAAATATTAGTGATAATTTTCACTTCCTCTTCCATATTTGGTGGGATTTGTAAAGCGTATTAAATACAATATTGTTTTTAATATTTCTGTTCATCGAGTTTTCATGTTTCAATTTTTTTCACTTCCCTCACAAGATCAAGATATTTTTCTAATTTTTCCTTTTCTTTTAGTCGGTGTTATGATGGAAATCCATAATTGTGAAATCCTTTATCTGACAACTTTTTTTTCTTGTTTAAAATGACTAGATCTAGTCTCATAAGCCGGAATGGAATCAGTGAGTCTCTTGCAAGTAAAATTGATGAGGTCTCTAGCAAGTATATAATTTTATTCGTTAAAACAGATTCCGTTTTGTGCATAGATTTTTTGATGTTATTGATCGCCATTAATAAGGACGCAAATTCTCTTTTCAGATATCCTATATACAACAATATTATCTTATTTGCAACTCCTTTTATTTACCTCTTGACTGTGCAGTTATTTTGTTTCTTAGCATTGGCTTCTCATTATGATGTTTTCTACGTTTCTATTTATCCTAGAGCAAATTTTAATTAGTTTTTTGATACCCTGCCTTAATGATAAAACCAACACAATCCCTAAAGCTGATGCAATCATCGTCTTTACTCTTTATTTTTTACGTATAATCTATCGACGTCATGTCTCAAATGTAATATGATTCAGTTTTTTTCAGTTTCTTGTCCAGTTTAGTAAGGATCGCGAATATCTAACAAAATAAACTGCTCATATGTTTACCGCCTTGAGTTTCTTGCTTACTTCCTAATAATATATCTGCATTTGCAGGTCTCATTATTTAGTTTATTTTCCTCCATTTCATTCGGTTTGATTGAACTCGCTTCCAATATTCCTAGATGCTTTTTCTTAGGCGAAGAGTTATTATAGTTATCTCCAATTTTTCATTACATTCCTTAGAAATTTCACCAATTGTGGGATTTTTAACATTGTCACCATTCTAATATCAAACATCATGGCATTATATCACAGGCCTTTTTGCAGTCTTTCAATGTCAAGTTCATTTTTTTTTCAGAATATCTGTAGGTTTTTTCGGCATCTTTCTGTTTTTCAAGTTTTCAGTTTTTTTACGAATAATGAAATTTTTAGCGTGTTATGTTGTTACGATTTTCCTCATCGTAACTAGATGCGTTATAAACTTGTAATCATTTGCAACTTTTCCTTTGTAGTCGTCTTTCTTCTCATCATTACTTGGTGAGTCTTGTCTCCACATAGCACCTGTATAATTGTTGTGCTTGTTGTGAATAGCCATGAATCTCTTGAGGGCAGACTCCACAGATTCCATTGAGGCATGACACTTTCCATTGAGGCAATTTTTCTTATAGCTCTTCTGAAGATCTATTGTCAGCTTTCGATCTCTTACGATTCATTTTTCACATTGATAAAACCCTCTACATTTCTATTGATTATTCTTGTTATTATTTTGACATGCCATTTATAGATTTTTCTGTTTTTTACCATATGAGTGTAGCTAAACATCGGTTGGTATGAGATCTTTTCACCACTCATGCCGTAGTTTAAAGAGTCTCGCTTCCTTCAAAGTACATCTCCTTTTTCACATAAGAATTGTTTTTTAATTCTTGTTTTTTGGTATCAATTTAGAAAAAAATTCCAGTCTTTTTCATTTTATATTTAGTAATATTTTTACATTCTTCTGAATGAGTTTATAAATTTTCTAGTTTTTCTTTGGGAAATGGTTGTAGATACCCAATGCCGTAATTATTATAAATACATTGTTTTCATCTTTTATAGTTTCTGAGGCTAGTAAAAGGACCCTTTTCCTTTTTATTCTTTTTATTGTCATTGCTTCAAAATATTCATGATCATCATAATCATCATCATTATCATCATTATCATCATTATTTTTTATTTTCCTTTATAGGCGGCAAATATGTGCCTCGTGCTATCATGGTGGATTTGGAACCAGGTACAATGGACTCTGTGCGATCTGGACCTTTTGGCCAAATCTTTCGTCCAGATAACTTCGTGTTTGGTCAAAGCGGTGCCGGCAATAACTGGGCCAAGGGACACTACACAGAAGGTGCCGAACTCGTAGATTCCGTGTTGGACGTATTGAGGAAAGAATGTGAGAACTGCGATTGTCTTCAAGGGTTTCAGATGACTCATTCTCTTGGTGGTGGTACTGGATCTGGTATGGGAACACTCCTGATTAGTAAGATCAGAGAAGAATATCCTGATAGAATCATGAACACATTCTCTGTTGTTCCTTCTCCTAAGGTAAGATTATGAAATTAATTAAGTCCAGATACACTACTGATATTCCGGTAAATCGTGGTCTGGAGCCTCGTTTAAGACTGAAAAGAAAACTTCGAGTTCACATGGCCGCCATATTAATTTATATAGAAGGTGTTGCGATTAACCGATCAATTTTCTATTTAACATTGAACACAAATATCTACAAGTATCAATCATGCGTTAAAGCATTAAACAAGTCAGAATTAGAATAAAATTCCTAGATAATCCGTAGAATATGAACTCAGTTGATTCGGCGAAATCGTTAATCCGAGAAAGCTTTAGGAGGCCACCAATACCAGAAAATTGGTTATGTGTCACATTAAACATTTGCATTGATTGGTAATTTAGTCTTATTTGTAATTTATAAATTTATTAAGCATCAGGACTTTATTTTTTAAGGTTTTTCAAATTTTATATATGCTTTTTTCAGGTGTCTGATACGGTTGTAGAACCCTACAATGCCACGTTATCTGTTCATCAACTCGTTGAGAACACTGATGAAACTTACTGTATCGACAATGAAGCCCTCTATGATATTTGTTTCCGCACCTTGAAGCTTACTACTCCAACTTATGGTGATCTCAATCACTTGGTTTCAGCCACCATGTCCGGAGTAACCACATGCTTGCGTTTTCCTGGACAACTTAACGCCGACTTAAGGAAGCTTGCTGTTAATATGGTACCATTTCCTCGCCTCCACTTTTTTATGCCAGGGTTCGCCCCATTAACCTCTCGAGGTTGTCAACAATACCGTGCACTGACCGTACCCGAGTTGACACAGCAGATGTTCGACGCTAAAAACATGATGGCCGCTTGTGACCCACGGCATGGTCGTTACTTGACCGTCGCTGCTATGTTCCGTGGTCGTATGTCAATGAAAGAGGTCGATGAGCAAATGTTGAACGTTCAAAACAAAAACAGCAGCTACTTTGTCGAATGGATCCCGAACAACGTAAAAACAGCCGTTTGCGACATACCACCTCGTGGTCTGAAAATGTCGGCTACGTTCATCGGTAACAGCACTGCCATTCAGGAACTGTTTAAACGCATTTCGGAGCAGTTCACTGCTATGTTCCGAAGGAAAGCTTTCTTGCATTGGTACACTGGTGAAGGGATGGATGAGATGGAGTTCACAGAAGCTGAATCCAATATGAACGACTTGGTGTCCGAATATCAGCAGTACCAAGACGCTACAACCGAAGAAGAAATTTTGATAGAAGAGGCCGAAGATGAAGAGGCTTAAATTCCATCATTTTCTTTTTCCTGTTCCTGGTTAAATGTGCTGGGATGTTTAATTTTTTAAAATCTTGTTTTCATTCTGAAAATGCTTTCAATAAGTTTTATATCACTTTGTGTTGCAAAGATTTTCTAGTAGAGTATTGCGAATAAACTCAAAAGATGTTAAACACCTGTTTTGTATTTGTCTTCGCTGGACATTGTTTTTTTTTTTTATTGGTAGCCATCATTTACTTCAACAAATTTAATCCATTTTTACTCAACGTTTTCTTCCGGCCAAAATAATAAACAGATAAACTGATAGCAACCAAAAATGGTGAAAAGATCTTTGACAAAATAATAATAATAATAATAATATTAGGAAAATAACTCACTTTTAATGGATTACCGAGTGAAAACTCCTAAAATGATTTCATTATTTGCGACGTTTAATATGTGATTTCAAGTATGACCTACACATGGATACTCGCAAGCACACACACATGCACACACACACACGCACACACACACACACACATACATATATACATAGTTTGTCGACACTAAATGATAAAATTATGACAATCATTTTAAAAGACATTACACAAGAACAAAGGTAATTCGAAATACCAGTATAAAGTATAAGTTCTTTCTATTGCAATATAATCCTTCCTCGGCATGAATACCAACATAATTATTCGTGATAATTTCTTATTAGAAAAGCCATTCTTATTTGGGTCACCAATAAAATAAAAATTAAATTATGCTATTTTTTAAGATTTATTTTCTATTTTCCCATGTGACAGAATTTTGAACTTTTACATAAATTTATTTTTCTTTCTTTCTTTTTAATCTTTGTATCGTAATTTTGCTAAAATATTGCAATTATATTTTGATTTCATTTGGTTTCACGCCATTTTTTATGTGTGTGTGTAACTGGAATTTAAAAAAAAATGACATTGGCCACACCCAAAATAAAAACCGATGAAAAATGTATATATTCTTTCTTTTTGATTTATTTCACGAATATTGTTTTTATTGCTTGCTGATAAAGCTAAATAAAAAACTGTCTTTTACTTGTCGAGAATATTTTACACCAATTGTAGACAACTTTTTTTTTAACGGTTTCAGCCCAAGCAAGACAAAAAAGTCAGTAAGACACAAGGGGTTAATGGGTGTAGAAGAATTAGGAACAGAAACATTAATAATGAACAAGAATAGAAAAGAGTAAGGAAGTAGATAGCAATTGACATTGCATTTAAACTTTTGGAGATTAAAGTTGACTGGAAAGCATGGAGCCGGAAGGAAGTTCCACAAGCGAGAAAAGAAATTGTTAGCATAGGATTTACGGTTACATCTAGCCAGCTCAACTGTAAATTGGTGAAATCTCGATGCCAGTCTAATACTGAGCTTAAATTCAAAACGTCTACGTACCATAGCGAAGAGCTCATCCAAACAATTTATAGTATTTATAAGGATGATCAACGTTTACGTGCATATAAGGTTGCTTATCATGTATGTATAAACCTGAAGTTGAATAAGCCATTGAATGCTGTTAAGAGTATATGAAATTAAACAGTTTAGAACAATTCCTTGAACACTATCTGGCGTGGGCAGATCTGTAGACATACGAGGTATCTCTGGAAAATCTAGCAATGAAGATTGCACGACCTTGATGTAACTTACAACAAACAATCAAAGAGGCGTATACTGCGCATGTATGAACACTCCTTTGTTAATAATGAGAAGCCATTGAGTGACCTTGTGTATTGAATACCTTCTGCTTTCACAATGACCAAGCGATATGTGAGATCAGCCGATATGTGTCGAGTTTTTCTTGAAAGTTGAATATCAGCCTGCAGAAACTCTTCGAATCATTTAGAAGGCTGTCGGGAGAGCGGGATTAAAAGAAGAAAGCTCAGATAAAAGCGTATTTTTTTTTTATCCAAGCCAGACAATAAATAAATACAGAATCTAATATTTTCGCTGGTTGTGTAATGCAGGAGAAGAAAGCGACCACAGTAGTGACTGACAGATTTATTACGACAGTTCACCGCAACATTTTATACTCTACATATTGTGTCGATTTTTTTAGGAAAAGGGCATCGCGTCAACCAGGTTTTCAGCACCCACTACATTCCAGACTTGATTCCATACTATCTCTGGTTTTTCTTAAAGCTAAAATTGCCGTTAAAATGCAGGATATTTCAGGTCGTGAGTGAGATTAAAGAGAACGGAGTAGCTTTTGGTGATCTCCACATAGGACTGTGCAGACTGTTTTATAAAAAGAAAATTGAAAAGGATGCAGAGATAATTATATAAGAAGAGTACTTTTTAAATTAACGTGGTCTAAGGCACCATTGACCTTTCTACGATTTTGTTTGTTGTTATTACGAAAAATATTAAAATACATTCCAGATACACGCCATATGCAACTTTTTCTCCTAATTTATTTTTATATATTTAATTTTTGTGTAAGGAGAGTCATTTTTATTTGCGTTTATTATTCGAATACTGAAACTGATCAGAATGTTCAAATCAGAACTGTGAAATAATTAGATTAAAAGAGTAAAACAAAATTAATGGTATAAATAAAATCAAAATGCAAATGAAACTTTCAATTTTCCCGTAACTTCATTAGAATGACATTGATTGGTGGTTTGATTTATATGATCATCGTTTATTCAATATACTTAAAAAAAAAAAAAAAATCATGATTCTGATGGTCGGTGTTTGTAGCAGAGTGCAGCAGATTACAGTCAGAGTTGTACTGTTCCAGCCAGTGTTAATATTATAGATGGTTTCAAATTCTGATTGTCTTGAATCACAATATTTCTTGTTTTTACATCAGCTGCTTCGATTAACATTGTTTTACAACTATAAAACAGCAACTGATGTTTGTTCTGGATCGTTGAGACTTTGTTTTATTTTAAATACCCACAAAGTCATTATGTATTTTTTAAATCCTGAGCCATATCAGCAGAATCGCTGGTGTCATGTGAAAACCAATGGTAATGTTAAGAATGGGCGTTTCTTCATACAGCAAACATTGACCGAAGAGTTAGCATTACTATCGTTGAAATCTATTAAATTTTTTTTAAGGAAAATAGGCTTCTCAAGTCCGCTATTACCGCTCTTTCCAGTTTTAATGGTGACTCCCTTCTGTCATCATTTTTTTCTTACATGGGTTATCCATTTTAGTTATTGCTACTGTTGAATGTCTTTAGTTGGTGTGGTTTCTGTTTTGTGATTCTGTAGTGCCAATCTTTGACAGTCCTCTTCAAGACCTACTTAATCATTGATCTTCTAAGAAGACGGCTGATAGTTCAGATATTTCTGAATGAGTTGGAGGCCATGTATGATATCAGTATGTGAGTTTAGATTTGACGAGGCTATTTAAGATTAGGATGCGAGTTCTTAGGTTAATATTTTGGTTCAGTAATATCTTGTAGCAATACGACACAAGCTATGCTCAGTAGAAGGAATGTGAGCCAAAATATTGTCCATCACGATGAGAAGGTCATAATCAATAAATCAGAACAGTGGTGTCTTGTAGACGGTTAAACTAAAATATATGATTTTCCAAACTTAAATGTAAGAATATTTTACGTTGAATAAAAATACTAACAGAGGAGAATTACAGAGGACTGTAAAAAGTGCTTAGGCAAATACCAAAAAGCGCTCTATTAATGTAATTATTAACCTTACTAGGTCGGAATATGACACAGTGCCGTTTTAATGATGTGAAACCAAGACATATGTGGAATTTTTCACAAAAGCTGTATGACTTTGGTAAGTAATATAGATTATAATTTGGGGTTAAGAGTCCATCTCGGAGATTTAGGTTGCTGCCATCTCGCGGAAAAAATCGTAATGAAACTAAAGAGGCCAATCATATTATCTGTTTACTAACTCACCGACCCACCGATTACTGTGTTTCGCGGCCTAATCCACACACTAAGGCCAGTCATCTCAGTGTTTTCTCCAATTTTCTAAAAAACGTCCCTGAATACTCTTTCTCATTTATTGTTATTCCAACCAACTTGGAAATTATTCATTATGCGTGTTTGAAAAAAAAAGTCAATTTTCCATGTCGTTGAAGACGCAATCGTACAAACATTCTTTTTGATTTTTGATTCTTTAATATAAATTTACTTACATTAAAGTGAATTATCAAACTTTTCAGAATGACTGACGAAGCAGAAAATCAACATATTTCGCAAGCGCACGAAGGATAAAAACCCTGAACTATAAGTGAGTATCTGGTATGAAAGAAAATTTAACTCTGCATGAGTTGATTTATGGTCTGGGGTGGGTGGTTCCTTTTTTTTAATGGTGTTGGAGGTGGGCCTAATACTGCTAAGTAGTGATCGTCGTTTTTTCTATTTGCCTTTTTCGAGTTCTTTTTGTGGATTGAATGGTTCGCTCAGCCATGTCATTAGACTTCTGATGATTCGGACTTGATTTTATGCGCTCAAAGTCCCAATATTTGTCTAAGTCATGGTATCAGAATTCATTTATTTATCGCTGACAATTTGAGGAATCACAAATTTTGAGAACGTACTTGGCAAGAGATTTATAACTATTTTATTCCGGTTCTTCTATTTGGTATAGCCTAAAATACCTTGTGGCGTTTTCCACGATTGTGTATTCAGCTAGCGATTAAATATATCTGTATTTAATTTCGTCCATGATCGGAATTTCATGAGGAATTAACAGTTCTGCTGGTTGCTGATTCTGGTGATCAATGCAGGTTGAATAATTGCTGATCACGTCTTTGGGCCATGACATCAATACGTAAGTTTAGATTTGACGAGGGTTTTTAAGAATATGATTCGAATTCTTAGGTTAATATTTTGGTTCTGCAATATCTAGGAGAAGGCACGGTGGAGTAATGGATAGCGGCTCGGATTGAGGAATCGGAGAGCCGAGTTCAAATTCCAGTCAAATCCATTACATTTACGAGTTTATATAACATTAATGTTATAATAAAAACCTTCTTATTGAAATGGCATTACCTGAAGACTG